TGGTCGGCCGAGGGCCGAGGCATCGAGGGCGAGGCCCATGTGATGCACGTGAAGTGGCTCGTAAACCACTGAGCGCTGCCAGAGTGTCAAAGCAGTCGCTGCATGTCATGCGTGATCTGGTCGGCCAAGGGCCGAGACATCGAGGGCGAGGCTTTCGTGATGCGGGTGGAGTGGCACGAAAACCACTGAGCACTGCTCTCGTTGCGATGCAGTCGCTGCGGGCCATTGATGGAGTGGTCGGACAGAATCCGAGGCATCTTGAACACGGCCCTATAGAAGCGCGTGGAGTGGCACGGCATCCACTGGACGAAGACTGCGAAGTTAGCAGTTTTTCGTCGGATGTTGTAGATAACATTGGAGCTCTAAAGGAGCGGAAAGTAAGGGTGACACCGGACGGCGCGGATCACCCTGGTACCACCGAGACATAGAACCTCTGAACGGAGGCGACGGCGACACCGTATGCTGGCTGCAGAACGCCAGGCGTCGACCCTGATTCAGGGTGTGTCGACCGTAGACGACGATACAGATTATACACCCTCGTCAATGGTATGACGGGGGAGAAAGATGGCGACGTCCGCCTCGAGGCTATGCCTGCAGTAAACGCTCTTCTTTAGCTGGACGAGATGTCCCTTGAAGCGCTCGGCAGTGCCTTGAAGGCAGGCGATTTGGCCGAAGTGGTCATTGTACGACTGGATGAGCAGATAAACTCGTCATCGCTTCTGGATGAAGCTGTCTTGGAAGACACAAAGAGAGTGCTGAACGCACGGAGTGGATCGTCGATCCTACGGAATCCCCTGGATCCGTACTATCCTTTGGTAAATAAATTTCAAAACGTCGTCTCCAAAGACCTGCCATAGATCCTACCTCCGGACCGAGGTGTGCGTCATGAGATCGACCTGGTTCCGAGGACCAAATACTGCGTAATACGCCAATGGCCCCTGCTCAAGGAGCAGTGCGACGTCATTATCCGTGCGGAGCACGACACAGGGTCGGCACGTGAGAGCAAGTCTCCCCATTCGACACACGTTTCGGGTTCGGAAGCCGAACGGCAAGTGGCGAATCGTTCATACTTACTATAAGCTCAGGGCAGCCACCATTCCGGCACAAACGCCAATTTCTAGAAAGGATGTTCTTCAGAACAATATAATGGGATGTACGAGGGACAGTGCACTCGATTTGGTAGATGGATAGTATCAGTTGCTCATGAGAGCGAGTGACAATCCGCTGACAGCGGTAAGCACTCCAAGCGGTATGTTCTGAGAGTGGCTGGTGATGCCCCAAAGACTGTCAAATGCACCAGCAACATTTAATCGTCTTGTGACGCAGTTGTTCAGGCCTCGCAGGGCGTATCCACAGACATTTTGACGACATTTTCGTTCATAGTCGTGCGGAGCACGGGAGGATGAACGAGGAGAATCACATCGTCCATGTAAGAGCGGTGCACGAGTGCATGCGCACTAACAAACTGCACGCCAATGCAGACAAGTGCATCTTCGGTGCAGAAGAGATTCTGTTTTTACGGTGCTTATTTGGAAAGT